TTATAGATGGTGCTTTTGGTTTTAGTCTAAGAATTCATTTTCTATAAGTGTTACATTTAAGTCCATGAGTCAATACTGATATAAATAAATAATTGAATAGTGCTCCCACCTAATGGGCAAAATCTAAAGGTATATGGCATACCTCTTGGGTGTGGGACACGACGACAAGGACTTTACCTAACAAATGTAAACATTGTAACCTATTTGTTTGTATCCTCATATTAATCTAAAATAAATAAATAATTGAATAAATGAGTAAGTGGGGCAGAAGAAATTCATGGATATTTATTTTATACTTTGAGTTATAATCCAGTACTACTTTGCATGGTTGCTGAAATTGTCCCAGTTTTAGCCATTGGGAGCTCTTTCAGTTGGCTTCTATGTTACTTTGGCATACTCCCATCCTTGTGTTTTTTCAAGTACTTCCTTATTTTCTGGCACTGTGAGATGCTCTAGCCTCGTATGTTTCCTTCCTAGTTCTAAGTTTAGCCACTTTTCCAAGGAGAATAGGATAGGAAACCAAGATCTGGGTGCTAGATGTGCTTTTTACTACTAGTGTATCATTCTATCCCCTCTCAGCTGATGGAGCAGAGAAATATATGTGCATATACTAAATTATGTGTGTCTATATATATCTATATAATATGTATATATATCTATACATCTATGTATACACATACATATCTATCTATACAAGTTTTTAAAAGTCAGGTATGTGTTAATACATATGTGTATCATAAAGGATATATATGGCTTTTAAAAACATATTTTCTATATACATACCATGTACATAATACTCATCAATATATGTATATACTATATATATGTATATACTATATATTTATCATCTATATGTGAGTTTTTGTTGTAAGTCACTAGTGGTACTGGAATTTCATCTTCAGTAGGTTCTTTGTCTCAGTGATTTGAAGAATAAATCTGCAGACCACAGATCAGGGGTAAGACAAGATTTATTTACAGAAAAGGATACAAAAACACCAAAGCTCTCGGCAGGGAGAGAAAACCCAAGTCGAGAGAGAAAAGCTCACTCTCTCTTTGTCTCTCTCCACGGACTCTTTGTCTTAGGGGTACATACAGGTGCATGGGTTCTTTATATATGAGGCCAGGAAATGAATGGGTATAATCCTTTCCGTTGGGACAAAGTAAATGAATATATTAAAGAATGGACCCAGTCTCTTTTGCTGGGGCAAGGCGAATGAATGTATTAATGAATGGACCCAGTCCATTCAGGGAATTGAGGCCTAGGAAACTTACATGAAATTGACCTAGGCATAGGAAATAGGGGTTCCATATTCAGTCATAAGTGCAAACAGAAGGAGACACCAAGACCCTGGTGTCTTCCCGGCAGTTGTTAGGCCCTTTGGCTATTGCAGCCCATGGTGGTGGTGGTGGGGAAGCCTGCCTCTTGCCTACCCGCTAACCTGTTGGTTCCTCTACCAGCTGCCGCTGCACCAACACCCACAAGGTGGAGGCGGCTGAGCTGGCAGGGGTCAATATCACTAGTTTTTTAAGTAATACATAATAGGTATATAGTTTTGGGGTACATGTGTAATACAGTTATATAATTTGTAAAAAAAAAATGCAAGAGACACAAAATAATAATAATGAAGAAAAAAGTTAAAGAACTCGTACTTCCTAATTTCAAAACTTACTACAAAATTACAGTTTTGAAGACAACATGATATAAGCATAAATGTAGATGTATGAATCAATGGAATAGAATTAAAAGCAGAAATAAACTTTCAAATTTATGATCAATTGATTTTTTTGACAAGGGTGCCAAGATAATTCTATGGGAAAAGCATAGTTTTTTCAACAAATGATGCTAGGACAAGCCTTAAGTAGATATACACACCTAAAAAAATGATAGCCTCTTTCCTCATATTAAAAAAATCACATCAAGGAACCATAGACCTAAATGTAAAGGCTAAACTGTAAGACTCTGGAAAAAAATCCTAGGGATAGATCTTCATGAACTTGATTTCTTAGATATAATACTTAAAGCACAGGTGACAAAAAGAAATATAAATTGGACTATATCTAACTTACAAAAACTGTGCTTCAAAGGATACATCAAGAAATTGAAAATACAGGAGAATATCTTTGCAAATTAAATACCCAACAGAAGTCTTATATCCAGAATATGTAAACAACTATAACTAAATAATAAAACGATAAACAACTCAATTTTAAAAGTGGGCAAATGATTTGAATAGATACTTGTCCAAAGATATTTAAATGTTCAATAAACACATGAAAAGATGTTCAATATCATTAGTCATTAGGGAAATGAAAACAAATTAGCATACGTTAGGATGTCTATAATCAAAAAGACAGTATTAGGCTCGGCGCCTATAGCTCAACCGGCTAAGGCGCCAGTCACGTACACCTAAGGTGGCGGGTTTGAATCCCCAGCCCGGACCCGCCAAACAACGACGGCTGCAACCAAAAAAATAGCCGGGCGTTGGGGCGGGCGCCTCTGGTCCCAGCTACTTGGGAGGCAGAGGCAGGAGACTCGCTTGAGCCCAGGAGTTGGAGGTTGCTGTGAGCTGTAATGCCACGGCACTCTACCCAGAGGGACAACTTGAGGCTCTGTCTCAAAAAAAAACAAAACAAACAAACAAACAAAAAAACCCCAAAAAGACAGTATTGGCCAGTTTTATGTTATGAATATTTTACTGCAATGTTTTAAAAAAACATTTAAAATACATTCCCCTGGCTCAGCACCTTGTGGCTCAAGCGGCTAAGGCACCAGCCACATACACCTGAGCTGGCAGGTTCAAATCTAGCCCATGCCCACCAAACCATGACAGCTGCAACAACAACAAAAATAGCCAGCATCGTGGTGGGCACCTGTAGTCCCAGCTACTTGGGAGGCTGAGGCAAGAGAATCGCTTAAGCCCAGGAGTTGGAGGTTGCTGTGAGCTGTGATGTCACAGCACTCTACCCAGGGTGACAACTTGAGGCTCTGTCTCAAAAAAACCAAAAAAAGTTTCTTCTTACATTACAAATATCTTTTTCATCTAATTCAAAATGGTTTGAATTAGAAAAATAAATTTCTCAGAATCACAAAAACGGAGATAGTTTAATATGTCTTATTCTAAGTGAATCATTATTTTTAGTAATCCCAGGGTAAAATTAATTGAATCAATTAATCTTTAGTTAAAAAATTAAAAGCTATTTTAATTTTTGGAATTCTGATTTTTTTTTTAAGAGACAGAGTCTCACTTTGTTGCCCTTGGTAGAGTGCTGTGGCTTCATAGCTCACAGCAACCTCAAACTCTTGGGCTTAAGTGATTCTCTGCCTCAGCCTCCCAAGTAGCTGGGACAACAGGTGCCTGCTATAACGCCTGGCTCTTTTTTTTGTTGTTGTTGTAGTTGTTGTTTAGGAGGCTCAGCTGGGTTTGAACCTGCCAGCCCCGGTGTATGTGGCGCCCTAACCACTGAGCTAGGGGCCCCAAGCCTGGGATTCTGATTTTAATGTTCTCATAATTCACCAAACATCTTTTAACACTGGCTTTGAGATGCACATTTTTCTCCAGTTATCTGACATATCATTTATTTGTACCCTTAATGAATTTTCAGTGAGGAAAATGTTATCTTAAGTTTTCAATATGCTCTATTAGTATTTTTCTTCCATTTACACTCTGGATGATGATTATTTCTCATAAACAAGGGAAAACTAAAATTAGAACTTGGCAAATGAGATTTGTTAGCATTATATTATGGCAAAAGTACATGATGTTAATATAGGTTTTAAGAAGAAACATTAAAAATATATTTTTCATCTATTGTATTTTCCATATGTATTATGTATTAGAAAAAAACCGATGGAGAAATAGGGATGGCAACATGGTTATCATGTGAATGAATCACTCAACAATGGAGAGAATCAACTAATAATGTAAATGCATGCTACTTTCTCAGCACCTTGATATATCTATAGGTGATATGGTAAAGTGCAAGATATGGTTTATATGGTCTCAAAGAGAATAAAATATCATGAGGCTATCATCATGTGAGGAAGGCATATTAAACAACAAATCATTGGAAATCATTACATCATACGGCTATTTTAAATCTAGGCTGTAAGTGCTTTAGGCTTTAAGAGAATAGTGACAATATCTTGATAGTTAGGAGAATTGTGAAAACAAGTAAATGCAAATTAGCCAGTCCTGATAAATACCTAGGGTTTCATCTATAAAGGAAATGAAAAGGGGTGCTTTCATTTAGCAGAAAAGCATGAGTATAGAAACATGGTAAAAGAATGAGAAATCTAGTTATAATTCTACAATAAAAATTATTGAAGATTTTAATATTATGCTGATGTGGAAGTGGAAAATTTTCAAATAGAATTGTTAGTCTCAGATCTAAATGTAAAGTGGTTGGTTTTCAGGGTTTCCGTAAACCTTCTCTTACTGGAGAATGTCTTACAACGTCTGGCTTGTATCATAGTCGCAGAAATGTCTAATCACCCTGAATTTTACAAACATTGATGTAAAGTTTGACAAACCTCAAAAATGTGATTACATAATTTTCGATGAACTGGAAGACCAATTTTGGAAACCTGTTCAATGAATATGTTTAGGCAACAGAAAACAAATGTCACTCGATGTCAATAAAATTTTATTGAGGGAGATTATTCAAACAGTTTTCTGTGGGTGGGTGCAGTTGCTCACACCTGCAATCCTAGCACTTTGGGAGGCTGAGATGGGAGGACTGCTTGAGGCCAGGAGTCTGTGACCAGCCTGAGCAAGAGCAAGGAGCAAGACTTCTTCATCTTTACAAAAAATTGAAAAATTATCTGGGTGTGGTGGCATGAGCCTATAGTCCCAACGACTCAGGAGGCTGAGACAGGAGGATCAAATAAGTCCAGAAGTTTGAGTTGCAGTGAGCTAGGATGATGCCAATGTACTCTAGCATGGGTGACACTAGTAAGACTTTGTCTCAAAAATTAAAAAAAAATTCTCTGTAAGAACGATAAGAATAGGGCAACTGGAGGAGATGTTAGTAAACTAAGTAAACATTATATCTTTAAGGGAGCTTGTTGTTTGTACATTTCTTATTTCTTGTTTAAGAAAACTCTTGCAACCAACCTCTTAAAGGCTTCTTTTACCTCTTTGTTCCTAAGTGTATATATAAGGGGGTTCAGCATGGGTGCAATGATTCCATAGAAGAGAGAAACCATCTTTCCCCGGTCCTTAGAGTTGGGTGAAGGTGGTTGCAGGTACATGGAGATAGCCGTACCATAAAAAAGTGACACCACAATTAGATGGGACCCACATGTCCCAAGTGCTTTTTGTCGACCTTCAGTAGATCGGATTCTCAAGATTGCTTGGGCAATAAAAGCATATGATATAAGGATGAATGTCAGGGGTATGAGGTGGAAGAGCACACTAACAGAGAATAGTTCAGCCTCATTTGCTGTTGTATCAACACAGGACAACTTGAGCAGCGCAGGGATTTCACAGAGAAAGTGATCTACTATGTAAGGGCCACAGAGCGGCAGCTGGAGAGTCAAGGTAGACAACCACACTGAATTACCAAAACCAGTAATCCAGCATGCAGCTGCCAACTGGAGGCAGAGCCTTTGGTGCATGATAACTGAGTAATGGAGAGGACGACAAATAGCTACAAACCTATCAAAGGACATGATGGCCAGCAGAACGCATTCAGTAGCCCCCAAGGCAAGAAACATGAAAAGCTGGGCTACACAGCCACTGTAGCTAATTACTTTCTTGATGCTGCATAAATTTACCAGCATTTGTGGAACTGTACATGTGATGTAGCAAAGATCTAAGAGTGACAGATTGGTAAGAAAAAAATACATGGGGGTATGGAGTTTGGAGTCCAGGCATGACACCAAAATAATGATCAGATTGCCAAAGATGGTCACGATGTAAGAAATTAAAAAAGCCACAAAGAGTGGAAACTCCAGCCAGGGTCGATCTGAGAAACCAAGCAGAATGAAATCCTGTAGGATGCTCTCATTTGCCCAATTCATGATTAATATTTCAACTCTTGGTTTCCTGAAACACAACAATTCAGGAAGTCAATTAGGAAATATTTATTAATTATTTCAATTACTGACAAACATTTTACTACTGGTTTAAAGACATTTATAGAATTGATACTGCTTATAACATGAAAAATATACAGTTGAAAATGCTCATAATTACCCAAGAATTTCTAAAACGTACTCTTTCTATATTTGTATCAGCACTTTAAAAGTCAAAGCCAAAATTTAAAAAGTAAATTCCTGATTTGAAAACTTTCATAAAATGTGTTCTTTGATTCTTTGTAATTTGGTTAATCACTACTTTTCATGTAAATAGCCATTATTAGGAAGATTCAGTCATAGTCACGACACCATTACCTTTTCATTCTAATGCCTTATGTAAAGGAGATTGCCTTGTCATCTGAAACATTTGAAATTATTTAGACTCACAGTTTGGCACCTATAGCTCAGTGATTAGGGTGCCGGCCACATACACTGGGGCTGGCAGGTTTACACCCGGCCTGGGCCTGCTGAACAACAATGACAACCTCAACAACAACAAAATAGCCGGGCGTTGTGGTGGGCACCTATAATCCCAGCTATTTGGGAGGCTGAGGGAAGAGAATTGCTTAAGCCCAGGAGTTTGAGGTTGCTGTGAGCTGTGACGCCATGGCACTCTATCGAGGGTGACATAGTGAAACTCTGTCTCAAAAAAAAAAAAATTATTTAGACTCCCTCCCCCCAAGAAAAATTATGCAGATAATTGCATGATTAATGTGTCTGATAGCTTGCAGGTTCTAGCAAGCTAACAGACACATTTCAAAGAAGAGTGTCTTTTGGCTCGGCGCCTATGGCTCAACCGGCTAGGGCTCCAGCCACGTACACCTAAGGTGGCGGGTTCGAATCCCCAGCCCGGACCCGCCAAACAACAATGACGGCTGCAACCAAAAAATAGCCGGGTGTTGTGG